TTGCTTATTATTCACTGAGCCCTATTCAGCGCAGGTATTATTCAAAGCACTGTACATGGGCTTGGGGACTTAGCTCAGTGGTAGAACACTTGCCTAGCAAGCGCAAGGCCCTGGGTTCGGTCCTCAGCTCTGGAAAAAAAAAAAAGACAAAATCAAAGCACTCTACATAGCTTATTTACTCTTCAACTCAAACATCTAGATAGATTTTTCTTATGTTTCTATTGAAGAAACTGAGACATAAAAGGAAGTAATTTGAGTAACTGCCTCAACAAGTCACAAAGCTAGTAAGTGGTCAAGTAAGGATTAGATCCAGTAATTGGCTCCAGACTCCATGTTTTCAGTTTGTGATTTTTATTTTTTAATCTTTTTGAGACAGGGTCTCCCTATAGCCCCAGCTGGCCTGGAACTTGCTATGTAGACTAGGCTGGCCTCGATCTCACAGAGATCCTCCTGCCTCTGCCTCCCAGTGCTAGAATCAAAGGCATGTGCCACCACACCTTGCTTTACTTTTATTTTTGAAACAGGATCTTACCATATAGAACAGGATGACCTTGAACTCAGGACCCTCCTGCCTCAGCCTCTCAAGTACAGGGATTACAGATGTGAACTACCATATTAGCCTGGGTCTATGTAAACCATTCTCCTACTGGCTGTGTGTGTGTGTGTGTGTGTGTGTGTGTGTGTGTGTGTGTATTCTAGTTTGGTATCTGTTGCTATAATAAACACTATGATCAAAAGAAACATGGGGAGAAAAGATTTATTTGGCTTACAGGTTATAGTCCATCATCCAGGGAAACCAAGGCAGGAGCTCAAGGCAGGAACCTGGAGGCAGGAGCTGAAGCAGCAACCCTGGAGTTCCAAGCTCACATTCAGCTACCCTTCTTCTTTTCCTTCTTTGTTTTTTTTTTTTTTTTTTTTTTTGGACTTTTTGAGACAGGGTCTCCCTGTAGCCCCAGCTGTCCTGGAACTCACTATGTAGACCAGGCTGGCCTTGAAACACAGAGATCCACCTGCCCTCTGCCTCCCGAGTGCTGGGATTAAAGGTGTGCACCACCACACCAGGCTCAGCTACCTTTCTTATATAACACAGGCCCACCTGACTAGGGATGGTATCACCTACAGTGGGCTGGGCCCTCCTACACCAATTAGGAATCCAGAAAATGCTCAACAGAAATGCCTACAGGCCAATCTGATGGAAATTCTTGAATTGAGATTCCCTCTTCCCAGAGGTTTGTGTCAAGCTGAGAAAAACTAATCAGCACAGTGTCTGTGTATTTATGCATGTTTATGTGTGTGTTACTGTGTGTGTGCATGTATGCACTCACCTCACATATGCAGAGGTCCCATCACAGTGTCTGCAACAAAGAAAACCAGTCAGTCAAGTACATTTTCCTCATGGGCCTGAAGCATGTAAGGCCAGGAAAAGTGACTCTTTTCCTCTATAACATGTTACAGGACCTAGAAAAAGACTGAGTATATAGTGGCCACTTTGCATACATTTCTAAAGCTTGAAATAAATGTGGAGGAAATATAAAGTGTCCCGTGCTATCGTCTCGCCAGCAAGAACGACGCGGCACACTCAGGATCCTTCTGCAGAAAAGCTTTAATGCATCTTGAGAGGGAGAGCATAAGCTTACAGGGCGAAGACCCCGAATGTCGGAAACCCAGCCCTTATATAGGTTAGTAAGCCCGTCTTGGACGTGGCAACTCTTGATTGGTCGCAAACTCATCAGCCCATGTCACGCCACGAGGTAGGCAGAGACTAGAAGGTGGAAAATTACTTCGGGCATGCGTACTGACTTATTTACTGCTCAGCATGAACCGGATGTGAGCGTCATCTTGTAATGGCGTCTGCAGGGACGGTAGGCGGCTCCCCACAATAAAGATTGAAAGTCAGCCAGCCACGATGGCACATGCCTGTAATCCCAACACTTGGGGAGGATGAGATAAGAATACTGCAGGTCTGAGGCCATTGTGGATACAGTGAGATCTTGCCTTAAAATAATAACTACTTAATGATGTGCTTTTGTATTCAGATGCAAGTTATGAACATACACATGCTACAAGGACACACACTTCTTTTTTTGTTTTTCTTGTTTGTTTTGTTTTTTGTCTTTTTCAGGCAGGGTCTCCCTGTAGCCCCAGCTGGCCTGGAACTTGATATAGACCAGGCTGGCCTCAAACTCAGAGATCTTCTGAGATCCTCACCATCACGCCTAGCTGCACACATACTTCTTACAAAAAAAATTACACAGCTGAGGCTGGAGAGATAGCTCAGTGGTTAAGGGCACTGGCTGTACTTGCGGAGGATCTAGGTTCTGTTCCCAGCACCCATATGGTGGCTAACAACCATCTATAACTCCAGTTCCAGATGGTCCAATGCCCTCTTCTGACCCCCACAGGCTTTGCATGCATGTGGTACATACATGCAGGCAAAACACTCGTACGCATAATTTAAATAAAAACATTACACAGCCGGGTGCAGTGGGAGGAGTCTATAGATCTGTCTACTCAGTAGACTGGGGCAGGATATCACTTCAGTCTTTGAGGAGTTTTTGGCCAGCCTGGTCAACATAGCAAGACCTTCTCTCAAAAAAATTTTTTCCACACAAACAGAGTCACTGGTCCCTTCAGCCTCAAGAAGACTCTATCAGGAAAATCTCCTGAGTTGGTCCAGGTCATGTGAAGTCCCTCTGACCCCTGATTCCCAACCACATTCCATTAGGCCAGCCAAGCCAGGCCCACACCATATGATGATGATGATGATGATGATGATTATTATTATTATTATTTAAGACAGGGTCTCCCTGTAGCCCCAGCTGGCCTAGAATTTACCAGGTAGACCAGGCTGGCCTCAATCTCACAGAGATCTGCCTGCCTCTGCCTCCTGAGTGCTGGGACTAATGGTGTGTACCACCACGCCAGAAGCTTAGTATGTAGACCAGGATAGCCTTGAACTCACAGAGCTCTGCCTGCTTCTGCCTCCCCAAGTGATGGGATTAAAGGCATGTGCCACCATGTGATATTTTGTTCATTCATTTAAGTAATCACAAAAGAAATGAAACTAGGTGTTAGAAAAGCACGGTCAAAGTATGGTTCTTGTCACTCCCAGAACTTTCAACCTGATTGGAGATGCTGGTACCAAGGCTTACCTACAGCAGGCAAAGAGAAAGGAACACCATCTCTGATAGTACCTATGAAGGTCTATCAAGTCAGACTGGAGCATTTTGGAGAACATCCTGTAGGTGACACTTGTGTTAAATATTAAAGATGAGGGCTGGAGAGATGGCTCAGCAGTTAAGACCACTGGTTGTTCTTGCAGAAGACCCAGGTTCGAATCCCAGCACCCACAAGGAAGCTAACAACTGTCTGTAACTCTAGTTCCAGGGGATCCAACAGCCTCTTCTGACCCCCAAGGGCATTGCACGACACAGGTGCACTTACCTACGCATACACATAAAAATAAGTAAATAAAATATTAAAGATTAACAGGAGCAAGGGAAGGGAATGGAGGAAAGAGAGTCAAAAAGGAGGAATAAGTCAACATGTTTTGGGCATTGCATGAGGGTTTTAGCTGAAATGCTTTTTAACAGGGTCAGGTAGGATATACAGCCAGAGGGTAGACAGAGCCTAAATGCCAAAATGCCTGATGTACTAAGCTGAGAGATTCGAATTCTGTTCCCAAAGGCTATCCACAGCCACAGGGGGCTTCTAGGCAGAGATGTGGTATGGAATCTCTGATAAAGGAAGATCCAGCAGCATGAAGGATGAATTGATATTAGAGGAGACAATGTAGAGATGGAGAACATTTCAATAGCCTTTGTGAGCTGGCATAGAGAGGATATCAAAGTGAGCTAAGAAGTGGGAAAGGAATAATGCCATTCACTACAACAGGACACAGAAAGTCCAGAATCCATATAGGAGACAGGGCACAATAGCTTTTTTTACTTTTTAAAAATTTTTTTATTGTTTTTATTTTGTGTATGTGTTTATTGCTTGCATGTAGGTAAGTGCATCCATGCCATGCCATGCCCATGGAGGACAAAAGAAGCTGTCAGATCCCCTGGAATTGGAATTATGGACAGTTGTTACCTGCCATGTGGGTGCTGGGATTCAAACCCGGGTCTTCTGCAAGAACAGCCGGTATTCTTAATCTCTGAGCCATCTCTCCAGCCCCAGGACACAATATCTTGTAGCTTTTATAGTTTGAGGTATCTGAGACATCCAGGTAATATCCAATTTTTTTTTAAATAGAGTCTCACTATATTGTCCAAGCTGGCCTCAAACTTCAGAATCTCCCGCCTCAGCCTCCTGAATAGCTGGCAATACACGCATTACCACTGCCCCTGACTTTTTCCAAACAGTCCTGAATGTCTATATATGTTGATATATTCATTTATGCTTGTGAACATCTGGGCTGAAAATAGAGGTTTGAGGGTCATCAGCTTACAGGTAGTAATTAAAACCATGAGAGTGGATGAAATCACCAAGAAAGTGTAAGGCCGATTTGTGGCCAAGGACTGAGCTCTGGGACGTTCCAACTCCTCAGACTTCGCTTGATAATGTTCTCCCAGGAACGGTGGGTGCAGGGCAAAGTGCGAGCACTGGAACCTGGAGATCACCAACATTTAGGTAAAGTGAGCGGTTGAAAACGAAAGAGATAAGGTGCAGAAGACACAACATAAAGAAGCATAAAGTGTAACGTCAGTAATGAAAGCAACAGACGTCAGAGAAAGTAAGAACAGGAAACAGATTATTTTGACACCTGGGGCACGCCGGGTTCCGTCAGAGAAAGGTCAGTGGAGTAGTGAGGGTGTAGGTTTCCGGCTATTGGTGAGATAACTTCAACTAGGCTGCAGTTTGCGTTGCTAACTGGAACAGCCGCAAGGCGCATCCATAGGGTCTCCAGGGTCGCGCGTGCGTGCTCCTGCAGGAACTGCTCTCGGCCGGTCACAGCGCGCCGCTCCCCCGCCAGGCCTGCAGAGGGCGCAGCGGGCCTTGGGGGGGGCGCACGGCCGCTCTAGCCAGCCTCGGACTCGCTGGCAGGCGCCGCAGCTGCACGTCCTCCGCGCCTCCTCCTGCGCAGGTGGGTCCCCCCGCGAGGCGGGTGCAGAGGGGCCGAGGGACTGGCGGCAGCACTGTCCCGGGCGCGGTGCGGTTCCTGTAGCCCACAAGCCTCGGCTCGGGCTGCAGCCCCGGAGGGCCGGGCTCCGGGGAGAGCAGCACGTACAGAGGTTCCAGCGGTGCGGATCGCCTGCGGAACTCGCAGAGCCTGTCCTGGAACCTCTTTGCACCCCGGGGACCTCCGCCCAGGCCGCCTGACAGCTTCTGGGAACACCTGGGGGGGGCGGAGCTGTGGGGGCGGGGCTCCGTGATTGACACCTCTCTTCCCTGACTTAGCGGGCTACGACTCGACCCCTCCCCCGTCCAGAAAGCTGAACCGGCAGGATGGTGAGAACCCCGAGCCCAGCCCCTCTCCCCTGTGTGCCCACGTCCTCAGCCCACGTGGCTGACTGCACTGCCTCCTAGGAACCCAGGGCTCCACTGTGGGGGTTCTGCAGGTCTGCCCCTGCAAGGCCACCTGCATTTTCCCCACCAACCCATCCCTACAGCACGGGCGCCTAAAGGTGAAGACGTCTGAAGAGCAGGCAGAAGCCAAAAGGCTAGAGCGGGAGCAGAAGCTGAAACTCTACCAGTCAGCCACTCAAGCTGTCTTCCAGAAGGTGGGGCTCTCAGAGGTAGCCCCAACCCCTAAGCATAACACAGAAGCCAAGAGTTTTACCCCAGTCACGGATCCAAATCTGGGATCTGTTTCTTGTAACTCTGTCACCTTGGGCAAGTCTAGATTTGTTCATCTGTAAAACGGGGCTAATAATTGCACATCCTACATAAGAGTGTTGTGAGGATTAAATGAGAGAGTACCTGGGAGACTGTATAATGCTTTGCATAGTACCTGTTGTGTACAATGAGATTCAAAGAATACTGGGTGGTTATGAGTTTATGTTATCTATCCTGGAGCTGGGAGAATGTTAGGATCTCTAGCCCTGTACCTGTCTTTTCAGCGGCAGGCTGGAGAGCTGGATGAGTCAGTGTTGGAACTGACAAGCCAGATTCTGGGAGCCAATCCTGATTTTGCCACCCTCTGGAACTGTCGCCGAGAGGTGCTCCAGCAGCTGGAGGTCCAGAAGTGTGTATTGGTTCAGTGTCCCAGGAAGACCCCGTTGGCCCTGCCTTGGTGCAGAGGAGGCATGGAGTAGTGAGGGGCATAGAGATAAGATGGTGGGGGACCAGGTACAGGAAGTTAGGGGTGAGCTGAGGTTGGGTGTTGGAGGGCCAGACACCCCGCCCTTTGGTTGCAGATCCCCTGAGGAATTGGCTGCTCTGGTGAGGGCAGAATTGGGCTTCCTGGAGAGCTGCCTACGCGTGAACCCTAAGTCCTACGGCACGTGGCACCACCGCTGCTGGCTGCTAGGCCGCCTGCCTGAGCCCAACTGGGCCCGGGAGCTGGAGCTATGTGCACGCTTTCTCGAGGTTGATGAGCGGAACTGTAAGTACCAAAGATCCTGTCTCCACAGACCTCATGTGCTCCACGTCCTCGTACTGGATCCTCATTAAGGCCCAGAGTCGGGAGGGATGTTCAGGTTCCAGTACCAGGGTCCACTGGGGCTAGTGCTTGAAAGGGATGCTAGAACCTGATGGGACTTCTATGGTCAGCATGGAGGTATTTCCAGGGGTCTCTGAGGGGTACCAGTGCAGTAGCTCTTCTTCATCCTGCTTCTGAGATAGGGTTCCTCCCTCCACGCCCCCAGTTCACTGCTGGGACTATCGGAGATTTGTGGCTGCACAGGCTGCTGTGGCCCCTGCAGAGGAGCTGGCCTTCACCGACAGCCTCATCACCCGGAACTTCTCTAACTATTCCTCCTGGCATTACCGCTCCTGCCTCTTGCCCCAGCTGCACCCCCAGCCAGACTCTGGTCCACAGGGACGCCTCCCTGAAGATGTACTGCTGAAAGGTTAGCAGGCCCGGGGGATTCTGGCAAGGATGCTGCAGCATCACCCTTTCAGTCCTGATGCCTGCCTGACCCTGTTCTGAGCCTGTCACTCGGGTTTACTGAGCACCTACTTCTTGCCTGTCTTTGGGGGTCCATATGACTTAGTGCCTGGCTTCAAGGAGCTCAGGTGTTTGATGAGGAAGATAAAACTGGCACATGTAGCCCCTGTGTAAGGCCAGGTGTGAGACTTGAGAGCTGTTGGAATGGCCAGGATCCCACCAGCCTGCTGATACAATCCCACCATTCCTCTCTGACCCCCCTCAGAGCTGGAGCTGGTGCAGAATGCCTTCTTCACTGACCCCAATGATCAGAGTGCCTGGTTCTATCACCGCTGGCTCCTGGGTCGGGGTAAGCAGTGGGAAGAGGCTGAAGGAATGGGAAAAGATTTAAGGAAACCTGAGGCTATGTCTCTCCCCAGCGGACCCCCAGGATGCTCTGCGCTGCCTCCATGTGAGCCGGGACGAGGCCTGTCTGTCTGTCTGCTTTTCTCGGCCCCTAATAGTGAGTCCAATGTTTTTACTAAGAGAATCATAGTACTCTGGGCCTGGTGGTGTCATGTCTGATGGACCTCTCTTTGTCCCCCATGTCAGGTGGGCTCCAGGATGGGGACCTTGCTACTCATGGTTGATGAGTCACCCTTGAGTGTGGAGTGGAGAACCCCAGATGGCAGGAACCGGCCCAGCCATGTCTGGGTATCCCAGAATTGATGGGGCAGAAATGAAGGTTTGGAGCAGGACTAGGGTGGGACAGTCAGCAAAGTGGTGAGGCCAGGACATTTCCTTGACCTAGTGCTCCCAGCTCTGTGACCTGCCTGCTGCCTCTCTCAATGACCAGTTGCCCCAACATACATTTCGGGTCATTTGGACAACAAGTGATGCCGAGAAGGAGTGTGTGCTTTTAAAAGGTGATGTAATGTAAAGCCCTTCCCATTGCAGCTCTTCCTCAGTCTTTCCTTTCCTCCTGGTATCCCCTCCTAAACACTTGCCCTTTCCCTTAGGCCATCAGGAGTGTTGGTGCCGAGACTCAGCCACTGAAGAGCAGCTATTCAGGTGATGACAAGAGCCCATGGACAAGGAGAGGGGCTCTAGGCATCAGGCAGTTGGGACAGGAGGCCTATGCCTGGGGGAGATGGCTCAGACTCGGTGCTAGGAATGACTAGGGCTGTGGACATCATCCCTTCCCTACTCTGCCCCCTCTCAGGTGTGAGCTGTCAGTGGAAAAGTCAACAGTGCTACAGTCTGAGCTTGAATCCTGTAAGGAACTTCAGGAGCTGGAACCTGAGAATAAATGTAAGATCATTCCCTGAGCCTGTACCCAAGAACATGTTGAGAAAGCCTCTGTCCAGGGCATTCCCTTGAGGAGAGGGTCTCAAAAGAGAATGGAAACAAATCCATTTCCCCACCCTCTCCCCAGGGTGCCTGCTGACCATCATCCTGTTGATGCGGGCACTGGACCCCCTTCTCTATGAGAAAGAGACACTGCAGTACTTCCAGACCCTGAAGGCAAGTCACGCCTGAGGGAACGGGTCAGGGGAGGCCCAGTGGGCAGCTGGAAGGCAGTTGACCTACATACTTCTCTGCTCCTTCTCCACCAGGCTGTGGACCCGATGCGAGCAGCCTACCTGGATGATCTGCGTAGCAAGTTCTTGCTAGAGAACAGTGTGCTCAAGATGGAGTATGCTGAGGTGCGCGTGCTTCACCTGGCTCACAAGGTATGGACCTTCCCTCGGCCCCTGCTTGCTACCCTCGCCATTCTCTGACTTTGCCTTTCATCTTAGGTGCCTTCCTGGACATTTCCTCTGCATGCAGACTGAACCATCACCTTTCTTCTGTCCTACTTCTCTGCTAGGTCTTGCACCTGTCACTTGGCTCGTCATCCTGCTTGTTTCTTAGTCTCAAATCTTGAGTCACCACAGTTGGACTAGGGAGGAGCTCAGTGGTACAGCTCTTGCCTAGCATGTACAAGGCCCTGGGTTGAATCCCCCAAAATCCCCTTATCATCCATGCTGTGCACACCAATGCTTCTCACCCTGGAGCAGGGCCCCAAACCTAAAACCTAAACATTTCTAGAGATTTCTGAAAGCCTTCCAGGCTCTGCTTTTCCTGTTTCTAGTCTCTCCCAGCCTTCTAAGCACATCAGTTTTACCTTATCACTGCAGCCCACCTCACTCCTGACAGCCCCACTCCTGCCTTGTTTGTTTGCTCCAGGACCTGCCACTGTCCTCTGTCCCTTTCACACTCCAGGTTGCCTTTTCCCATCCACTCCCACTGATCACCCCTTCCCCAACCCTGTCTGTCTGTCCTCTGTCCTTGACATGTAGCATGTACTCCCGTGGACTGAGCTATAAGGTAAGTTTCTCAAATGCTGCCAGCCTCTGTCTCAACAAGAGTCCCTAGGGGCCCATATGGGACACCATAGCTGAAGACCCTCTCCTAGATCTTGCTGAGTATCTCCCCTACCCCCACCCCACCACCCTTAGGATCTGACAGTGCTCTGCCATCTGGAACAGCTGCTCTTGGTCACTCATCTCGACTTGTCACACAATCGTCTCCGAGCCCTGCCCCCAGCCCTGGCTGCTCTGCGCTGCCTTGAGGTAAAGCATTCATTCCTCCCTTGCTGTTTTGGGTGGTCCTTCTCCCCTTTCTCCACCTCCCAAGTCTACCATGTTACAGTGATATGAGGACCTCCTAGTCCCTGCAGGTAGCTGCTTCCCCTCTAACCCAGCTTGACCCTGTGAGCCCCTCCATACACTACAAGTTGTTTCCCCTGGGCTTCTTCGTGGCTTGTACCAGCCCCAGCTGATAGCTGCCTGCTCGGCTTTGTGCCTCCCCTCCTCTCTGCTCCTCAGGTGCTGCAGGCCAGTGATAATGCCATAGAGTCCCTGGACGGTGTGGCTAACCTACCCCGGCTGCAAGAGCTGTTGCTGTGCAATAATCGTATCCTCCCTTCTCTCTGCTTTGCAGACAGCGCATGGGGTGAGAGGCAGGCCACAGCAGGACAGACCGCAGACACAGACAAGGACAGGGTACCATCCCAAGACCTAGGAGACAGGGCTCAGGCATTGTGAGCCCAAGGAAGATGATAGCCTGGGGCCATCTGGGTCTATCATTAACTTGTACTCTGGAGTTTTGTGGAGTGTGACTTCCTCAAGCCAGAGTTCACAAACAGGCAATCTGTAGAGATTCTTTGGGACCACATAGTATTATTTTTTAAAAAAAGGAAGTTTTTTTTTTTTTTTTTTTGGTCCTTTTGAGAAAGGGTCTCCATGTAGCTCCTGCTGCCTGGAACTCACTCTGTAGACCAGGCTGGCCTCGAACTCACAGAGGATCCGCCTGCCTCTGCCTCCCAAGTGCTGGGATTAAAGGCATGCACTACCATGCCCAGCGTGAAGTTCCATATTTTTTAAAAATCTTGAACTCTTGATTCCTCTTTTGAAAGTTGGAAGTTAGTGTAACTTTTGACCTACATTTCCATTCCACTTGGCAGCCCTTTGTTAGATAGTGAGTGCTACTTGGCAGTAGTCTCTACCTCTCCTGGTACCGCAGGCAGCCTGCTTGGTGTGCTTCCTGTGTCGCTCATCAAGCATGCTTCCAAACAGCAGCCCCCAGCTTTGGAGGGTGTCTGGGAGCAGATGAGGGGGGAAGGGTAGACCTCCAAGCTTTCCTTAACTCTCCTGCCCAAGGCCTCCAGCAGTCTTCAGTGCTCCAGCCGCTTGCCTCCTGCCCCAGGCTGGTCCTCCTCGACCTGCAGGGCAACTCACTGTGTCAGGAAGTGGGCATCCTGGAGCACCTGGCTGAACTGCTGCCTTCTGTTAGCAGCACCCTCACCTAAGAGGTCCTGCCTGTACCCTTGCCCTTTAACTTATTGGGACTGAATAAAGAATGGAAAGGCCCCCTTCAGGATGCCAAGCTTCCGTCACTGCCGCCACTATGCCATGCTTCTTAGGAAAAGGAAGAGACTTGGGTGTGGCCCTGCCTTCCTTTAATACTCTCCTCCTTGCTGTTACCCATCATGGAGAGCCAAAGCCTCAGTGTTTGGAGTACAGATCAAGGCTAGAGCTGGGTTTGAATTTACCTTCAGCTTTGGGGCTGGCACTGGGCCCAGGCTTGAGGCTGGGGTAGGGGTGGGGATCAGGTTCTGGTTTGGACCGAGCTACAGAACAGTTGTCTCTCTAGCTGGAAGAGGTCATGAAAGTGTCTCCCATGATCCCTGCCCCTTTTAGATGCCCTCTCTGCACTGGCTCTCAATTCATTCACATCTGAGAAGGCTCAGGTGCCCATTGTTCCAGGAAGAGTAGAGTGGGCCAGGACTGCTTGCCCCACCCTGTTAAGACAAGAGTGTCAGTCCCTGTAAACATCATAACCATGGTTGAAAAGCTCTTGGGAATCCTTGATCCCATTTAATCCTCACACCCTCTCAGGTATGAGATAGACTATTTGTACTGATGAAGAAACTGCTAGGACTTGCCCACGGTTACTACTGAGCACTTAGTGCTGAAACCAAATGCTAAACACTTTGGTTTAGCATTTTAGCCTCTCCTTAATTCTGTATTACTATGGAGTGGTGGAGCAGAGGCCAAGCTTCAGGCTCCCCGAGGTATTAAGATGGAGTCTGCTCTAATGGTGCCAACCAAATCCCCCCCACCCCCCACATTGTGTCATAGCATTGGAAGCCCTGAGGCACCATGCCTCCAGGGAGTGGCTCAGGGGTTAGGGCACTGACTCAAACTTGGCTGGGTAGGGAAAGAGAAAGATCAATTAAAATGAGAGTGGCAAACCAGGCATTTTCCTGGTTCTTTGCCTGGGCCCATATGTGCTCACCTGAGGCCCTGCCCCTTCTTGTATCACAAGTGATGCACAAACTGTTCCAAAGCAAAGCCCTTTGGCTGACCTGCTGCATACCTGCTTTGAATTTTCATTTCCACTGATGTGTGCACTGAGGGAACTGTTGGAAGTAGAACAGACCCTCCGCTAGGGTTTAGGGCTTGCCAGCTGGCAAGGAAAAAAGTTCACATGAGCTGGTCTGTTGGCTCTCACCTGTGATCTCAGCACTTGGTTAAAGTAGGATTGCTGTGAGTTCAAGACCTGTCTGAACTCACAGAATGAGACCCCATCTCAAAACAAAACAGAAAAGAGTCTGTGTGGGTGTGGCAGACCTGGAGCCTCGGGTCCAAGGAGAGCCTAGAGATGCCGGGCTCCTCTCCACCTTGGGGCTGTCTTAATGACATCTCTGGAGTTTCTAATATGGTATGGGGTGGAGTTAGGAAGCACATAGGTTCCTGGAGCCGGTTGGTCTAGATTCCCAGGAAGAATTCCAGGTTGGAAATGAGGGAGAATGCTCAACTCCAGCTGACAAGACACTCCTCTGTGAAGGGCATACCCTGGTGGCCTGGGGAGAACTTGGTCTCACTCAGACTTGAATGCAAAGGCCTAAGCCTTCCCTACACATTCAGGCTAGGAGGAGTAAACAGAGATTGTCCCTCTTCTGACTCCTTGAATCTCAAACTGTAGGAGACTCAAGAAGCTGAGGGACAGCTCACTCATACTCCCAGCTGTGGAGCAGCTGGAAAGAGAGACAGATGGGGAATGTGGTGGGGGTGTAAGATCTGGTAGAGCTGGCAGGTCAGGGACTGGCAGGTGGAGCCAGTCTGAGGGCCTGACTGCTGATGTCATCAGTCTGCAGCCCGGGATACTGGGACCTCCCCGGGTAGGATGAGTTCCAGGACCAGGGACCAGTTTCACAGAGCCAAGCCTGGTGGGGAATGCAAGGGAGCTTGGTAATGGGCCTGTGAGAGCAGATGTAGCCCCTCTCAGCTTGGAAACAAGACTGCCAGGAGACAGCTGCGTTTGAAAGACGTTCCCTGCACCTTAACTGCCGGCACACCCAGCCTGGCAAGAATCAATCAGGTTTGGGGTCCATCACCCAAAGCCTCGATTTTTTCAGACTGCAACCTTAGGTCTGACAGAGCCTGACCCCCCCCCCCCCCCCCCCCCCAATTCCTACATTCTGTCATTTGTGTTAAGGCCTATGGAGCCAATCCATTTTCTGCCCAACCTCCAGAGACAGCCCCTCAGAGACCGTTCTCTTGTACTGGAGACTGGGGATGAAGCAACCAACTTCCCCCTTTTTTTTTTTTCCCAGCAGTTCGGCCCCGCCCTCCCTCCCCTCATAAACCACTTACCCCGCCCGCCTCACACCTTCCACTCCAGCGGCGGCATCCAGCCTGTCCGTCCCGTCCCATCTGCCCCGACCTGCTCCACCTGGGCCCTGGGACCCAGCGCTGCCGTCACCAACACCGCTGCCAGGTGAGAGGCTCCGACATACACCTGTGTTGAGCCTCGGCGTCAAGGGTTCACACGCCCCGAGGTCCAGAAAGGAAAGCGGGTCAGCTCGCGCCTGCTGCAGGCTGTCTCCAGGGACCGGGATCTGTCCTGGCACCCGCGGTGCCCCAGCCCTCTCTGCAACCCCCACCCCCGGCGGAGTTTGCCCCGACGTGAGGAATGCCACCGCCCACCCACCTGTTTTTGTGGCAAGGCCTCTGCTTAAGAAATGGGTCCTAGAGGCTGCCAGCGACCTGGACCTCTAAACTAAGGCGCTAGCAGGTGGAGGGACCAGTACGGTGTTCCGGTCCACGCGGCTGGGTCTTGAGGCTGTGACAGACAGGTGGTGTTCACTTAGGGAATTGTGTGCATGTCCTCCGATGGATTCTCAAGTGACTTCTCCACTGGGCCTTTGTTTGGGGGATGTGATGTAGGACTATAGTGGGGTGACAGGAAGGCTTTTCTCTGCAGTGCAGAATGCTTTTTCTGGGTGGGTTTGAATGACGTCTTTGGGGGAGGGTCTTTGATGGGTGTAGGGGAATCTCAGCATCAAAACGAGATCGTTCCAGTCACCTGGCTGGACAGGAACCAGTTTCCCTGGATGAAGAGTTTCTGGGTGGGTTGGCCAGGCATCCTGGGCCCAGGAGATCTGAGCAGACCAGAGCGTCCATTGCGTCCTCACAGGCACCATGGAGGGTCCTCGCGCAGACGTGGGCCGCTGGGGCGGGAACCGCTGGCAGCCCCCTACCACACCTTCGCCAGAGCCAGAGCCAGAGCCAGAGCCAGAGCCAGACAGGCGCTCCCGCAGAGGGGGAGGAGGCCGCTCCTTCTGGGCCCGCTGCTGCGGCTGCTGCTCATGCCGGAACAGGGGCGACGATGACTGGGGTCCTGAGCCCTCCGGCTCCAGGAGTCGAGGGTCCAGCTCTCGAGGGGGCCGAAGACCCGAGTCCCGGGGCGGTGGTGTAAACGCAGCTGGAGACGGCACCATCCGAGGTGAGGCCAGCTATCCACGTTAGCCGAGAGCTGAACAGCCTTCAGGGGACCTAAAACCCATTCTGGACTCTCTAGGGGCCAGGGAGGCTAATGAGGGAGGTGTGGGCTCCTCACTGACCCCGGAGATGTGGCTTTGCAGAGGGCATGCTGGTGGTGACTGGTGTGGATCTGCTGAGTTCACGCTCAGACCAGAACCGACGAGAACACCACACAGATGAGTTCGAGTACGAAGAGCTGATTGTGCGCCGTGGGCAACCCTTCCACATAATCCTCTTCCTGAACCGGGAATATGAGTCCTCTGATCGCATCGCCCTAGAGCTGCTTATTGGTGAGGGGGGCCTGGAATGGGAAGGGTGAAGGCCCTGGACTTGTTGGAGGAGTGCTGACATTAGGGTTAGAGAGGCTTTTAGGCTCCTCCCTGACACATCTCACCTCTGCCAAACCAAGCAGGTGCAAGATTCTTGGTGTTCCCTTAATGGTGTTCTTCAGAAGAACTTGGTACTGCAGTTTCCCCAGGCTGACCCTCAAGCTTCCAGGGATATCTGTCTCACAGTACTTCCTCTTCAGGCCAGCCTCCCTGTCTCCTTCAGGACTACTGACTGTGTGTCCTTCTTGGGGGGGGGCTGATCTTTCTGTATATTACATGCTGATTTTCTCTCTCTCTCCCTCCCTCCCCGCCCCCTCTCTGTCCCATGGCATGGCCCAGGGCAGATACCTCCTCACCGCGTTGCTTGGTGACCGTTGACTGCCCAGGCTGGTGATTATGCAGCTGCTGGGGGCGGGTGACTCCTCTTACCCTTTGATTAGAGCCTGACCTTGCCCACCCCAGCCTCTAATTTCCAAGATACCCTCCACCACCACCACTTCCACCAAAGATGCTCTGGGCTCTAGAAACTGTAGCCCCAGGGAGCAGGGAGCAGAGTTACCCTTTGGTATCTGGACCGCTCTTGCCAGTGGTGCAAAGGGACTCAAGTTGGCTCTCTCCTTTAGCCTAGGCATTGGGACATGAAGCAAGCAGTGGGTGACAATGGCCCTGGTCTCTCCTCCCTACTTGAGTTCATTGTCAGGGGAACAGGTTTGGGATGTTGGACTAGGGCTTTGCCCTAACACGCGGGAGATCATGGGGCGGACACAGAGCTGCTCTAAGGGAGATTGTCACAGACTGATGTGGTAACCCAACTTAGGGACACACAAATTGGCTCACAGGCATTTCGGGTGGGGCTGGAAGAAGTCTGACTCTAGCCTCTTCCAAAGCGACTCCTTCACTGTCTAATTGCTGATCTCCTTACTCTAGGAAACAACCCCGAGGTGGGCAAGGGCACCCACGTGATCATTCCAGTGGGCAAGGGAAGTAATGAGGGATGGAAGGCACAGGTGACAAAAGCCAGTGAACATAATTTGAACTTACGGGTTCACACCTCCCCTAATGCCATCATCGGAAAGTTTCAGTTCACTGTCCGCACACACTCAGAGGCTGGAGAGTTCCAGTTGCCCTTCGATCCTCGAAACGAGATCTACATCCTCTTTAATCCCTGGTGTCCAGGTAAGCCAGCTGGTGTTAGAAGCAGAAGGTAGACAGGTCAGGGCTTCCCTTCCTAGGATCCAGCTGGGTGCCTGGGTATCTGGTCATAGGAAAAGTCAGCCTCCCATTGTCCAGAGGAGGAGGTTGAGGCCCACTGTAGAAAGGAGACCCGCCTCACTTCTCCTGATGCAGAGCCCTGGCTATGGTCAATCTTCTCAACATCTTTTTTTTTTTTTTGTAGTCCTCCATCCTTCCTGAGAGCAGTCTGATCAGGCTAGAGCATCCCAGCTCCCATTTCTTTCTGTGGATATGAGTTCTGCACAACTGGTTATGGGGCAGATAAGGCCCAGGAAGAAAATAGATGGAATTAACTATGTGTTTTCTGGGACTACAGAGGACATCGTGTATGTGGACCATGAGGACTGGCGGCAAGAATACGTGCTTAATGAGTCTGGGAGAATTTACTATGGAACAGAGGCACAGATTGGTGAGCGGACCTGGAACTATGGCCAGGTATGGTAGGGCTAGGTCATTCATGTGGACTTAGAGATGGAGGACATGGAGGGCTGAGCAGGATGCTGGCCTAGGGTTTGAGCATCACCCAGAGGGCTATGGTTACCTGTGCCCTTCCTCTTTCCAGTTTGACCATGGGGTGCTGGATGCCTGCTTGTACATCCTGGATCGAAGAGGGATGCCATATGGAGGCCGTGGAGATCCAGTCAGTGTCTCCCGGGTCATCTCTGCCATGGTAAACACCTTCATATCTCTAAACCTTACTCTGTGTCTTTCTTCCTGCCCTGCCCTCATTCCTTCTGGATTCTCCAGCCCTACCCTTGCCCTTCAGATGGTAGTGAGGGAAGGGGGTCCTGCTCCTCATCTTCCCTCCCCGTCCTGTCCCCCACCCTTTCTTTCTTGGCTTCTGTCCCAGTTCCTTTGGAATGCAGAGCCAAACCCAAAATTTGGCACACCCAAGATTGGCATTCCTATGTCAGAGCTGGGGGGATGGGGGGCACATGGGTCAGGGGAGAGTTGGGCAGGGCTTAGGCTAATGCCTAGATCCCTCCTGAGGCTTTTAAGGATGAGTGGGTGGTTGCAGAGTTAGGGGCTGGGGATCCAGCAGGTCCTGAGCCTCTCCCCCAACCCAGCCCCACCCTATCTTGTCCTGGGCAGGTGAACTCCCTGGATGACAATGGAGTCCTGATTGGGAACTGGTCTGGCGATTACTCTCGAGGCACCAACCCCTCAGCGTGGGTGGGCAGCGTGGAGATCCTGCTTAGCTACCTACGTACTGGCTATTCCGTCCCCTATGGCCAATGCTGGGTCTTTGCTGGCGTGACCACCACAGGTAGTGGACGGACTAGGTCAAGAGTCTCTATAAGGAGGGAAGGGCTCCATTTCTACCCATCCCAGCTGTGGCTACAGGATAGGGTACCAGTGAGGGTGGATGATAGACTGGCCTTAATTATCATTAATTAATGTTAACAACTGAGAGAGGCCTAAGGGAAAGGAAGTAGAAGCAATGGGCAGGGCCTGAGCCAAGCAGGTGGCCTGGCTCTCCCTAACCACAAGTGCTTTATAGCCCAAAGCCCCCTGGGTCTTATGACCCCTAACTCTGGTGGTCCTTCCCAGCCTGGCAACCTCAGTTGTTCCTTCCTTCCTGCTGGTGCCTCACCTGCACCCCACCTCTACCCTGAACCTTAACCTGACTCCCCCACAGTGTTGCGATGCCTGGGCCTCGCTACCCGTACTGTCACCAATTTCAACTCTGCACACGACACAGACACATCCCTCACTATGGACATCTACTTTGATGAGAACATGAAGCCACTTGAGCATCTGAACCATGATTCTGTTTGGTGAGGATGAGACTAAGGCTGGCCTTCCTTATGTGCTAAAGATGACCTGAAGCTTGGATGCAGAGGCTCGGGCAGGGCTGGGGCTGGGAAGGGCCTAGATGTGAGCCTCAGGCTTAGTACTCCCTCCATGCCCCTCCAGGAACTTCCATGTGTGGAATGACTGCTGGATGAAGAGGCCAGATCTACCCTCAGGCTTTGATGGGTGGCAGGTTGTAGATGCCACACCCCAGGAGACAAGCAGTGGTAAGGCAGGCTGTGCCCCATACCCTACTCTGAACCTTTCTTTATTTCCTCAACCTGGGATTAGGCTAGAGAGCCAAATCCTTTTACTCCACAGTTCTTCAAATGGGCTCATCAACCGAACCACTGTGCAACCATTAGCTTATTCTTCTCTATGTAATGTGATTGAATTTTATTTATTTATAATAACTAATATATTCAGAAGGTTCAAAAGTCAAAGAAGATTCAACAGTAAGAGGTGTCCTTCCCCTGACAAATCCACTATTCCTTTTTGTTTATTTGCTTGTTTTCATTTGTTTGTTTTGAGTCAGGGTCTCCCTGTAGCCCTAGCTGACCTGGAATTCGCTATATAGACCAGGCTGATCTTTATCTCACAGAGACCCACCTGCTTCTGACTCCTGAATCGTGGAATTAAAGGCATGCACCACCACACCTGGCTTTCCACTATTTAAAATATTTTTTCACACCTATTTATTTACTGTGTATGTGTGCATGTATGTGTACCATAGTACACATGTGGAGGTCACAGGACAACTTGCTGACATTGGTTCTTTCCCACCATGTGTGTTCTCAGGATTGAACTCAGGTCATCAGCCTTGGTAGCAAGCACCTTTACCTGTTGAGTCTTCTTGCCAGCCCCAATCCACTATTCTTTTATTATTATTATTATTATTATTATTATTATTATTAAAATAGTTTTACTAGGCCTTTGGGCATTTCATATAATAAATCTTAATAAAATTCTTGGCTTTTTGCCTAAGATCTGTCCTGGAACTCACTATGTAGACCAGGCTGGCCTTGAACTCACAGAGATCCGCCTGCCTCTGCCTCCTGAATGCTGGGACTAAAGGCGTGCACCACTACACCTGGCTATTTTTTTTTTAATTTTATGTGTATGACTATATTTCCTGCATGTATGTGAGTGCACCTGTATCGTGTAATGCTGCAGAGGTCAGAAGAGAGTTTCAGATTCCCCTGGATCTCTCCAGCCCCATCCAATCTGCTATTCTTAGCTTCTTTTTTACTTATATATTTTAATTAATTAAAGATCTCTCTCACTCTTTCTCTCTCTCTCCCATGTATATGTCTAAAAAGTCATAATTAGGACTGGGTTCAATCCCCAGCACCACACACACACACACATACACACACACACACACACACACACACACACACACACACACATACACGAAGAAATTAAAAAGAAATGAATGTGACCGGGCGTGGTGGCGCATGCCTTTAGTCCCAGCACTCGGGAGGCAGAGGCA